ATTTTAGATGGACGTATGTCGACCGAAGAAGGGCCAAATTAAATGTACCCGTAACCGGTGAGCGTGTATGAAAATATTGATGAATGTGGAAGAACCGAAAGAGGTTTGTTTAAATCGAAGCCTTTGGCGTTCCATTATTTCTGCCTACCCGGGTGACAGGCGTGACAGATATATATGTATGTATGTAGTTTTCTTTTAGCTCCCCTTCACGGCCCTATTACTCTAAGTTCCTTCTTATAATATACGTATATTTCCAATTTCCACTCCCGGTTTCCTTTGTCACTAACATAGACTTTGTCATATTCCTTGTACCTCGGTACACCTCTTGAACTTTGAGTACTGAAATTAATAAAGGAACACATAGACGAAGAAACAAATAGAGTTTAATATCCTATTAATAATATAAATTATCCCAGTAGATTTGAATGGATATAACAATATATAAATAAATATATTATTCAGGAAAAAAAACAAAAAAAAAACCAGCTAGACCTTTAATAGCAAAACTAAAATAGCAAAAAATTGTCGTATAAAAATTTACGAGAACATAAAGTTTAAGGAAAAAAAGAATTACCCCAGTAAGGTAATATAAATAATATTAATTAACAATTGGTATTCTATGTTTCCATCTTACGATATTCTCGGAATACAGTTTTGAATTTAGAAGCCCTTATAGAAACCAATACGGAATGGATACGTCATCTATGAACACATCTATATGGTCGTCGACCGCCATTGTGGTAGGATTCGGCACGAAAAACGATTCGTGTCGCTCGCCGTCCAATCTCCACCGTCAAAACATAATAATCCGACCAAATTTGCTTGCACTCCCCCGTCCCTCCTCCTACAGGGCACGAGTATGTGAATGAGGATATTAAAGCAACTTTCAGGGATCAAGAGTAATTGGACGCTGTGAATAGTATACTAAATTGTCACGTATAACGGTCATTTTAGGGATCTGTAGCAATTGGAAACCCTTGTAGCGAACGCGTGATCACTTTATCAGGTTGTCTGTCTATTTGAGAGGTTGTATTATAGTAAAAATGTATATATGTTTATAAATAAGAAAGGAATGTTGCTGCTAGGTACAAGGATCACATTTTAACAGTTGCACTGTTATAAAATGTGATAATTAAGGTTTTTAGGGGAGAAATGATTTCTTATCGCAATATATAAATATAAAATAAAATAACAATAATAAACTCTTTAAAAAAAACAATCTCCTGCAGACAACCCGGTATAAATAGTAAATAAGTACAGACAGAAAGGTAGATGGCGCAAGTCGGTTACAGTAAATACAAAACAAGTAACCTAATAAAATGCATATCATTCTAAATATCATGTATATAAAAATAAGAATGAATTACATAAATATACATATATATACACACATATATATATAATATATTGTTCATATATCAATTCATAATGTTGTCTCATTAAAATAAAAAGTATATTTTCAGAAAAAAGAAAACTAATCAAATGCTGCTAAGACGGCACAGTTAATGAAATAAAAAACTAAATGAAATGTATGGAGAGGGAGACTTTGTACAAAAGTCGATTGCTTGGGTACCTCTGTCCCGTTCGTATTTCAACCGTGAAGCAGTTGTGTTTGCATGGCTGTGTTTCGGTTTGAAGGGTGGGATATGGCGTGAATTTACTGGGTACAGAGGAATAACACCTGAGTCCTCGGGAATGGCAACGCATGGGGGGTATCATGGGCGAAATAGTATACTCTGTTATGTCCATGGTACTGCTTATGTCTATAGGCGATGGTTACCACTTTACATTAGGTGGGCCGTCAGCTTGTTTGCCATTCTAAGTTGTATAAAAAGAAAAATGTATGAATGAGTAGAGACTATATGACGTATGCATCCAATTGCCTCTGTATTTGATTCCAATCACATACATATTTGCTTTATTAATATTCATAATCATGATGTGTTTGTCGTGTTAAGCTTGTAGTATGTGTCTTCGAATAAATTATATGTAATTTCATCGTCAACTCAAACCTATTGGCATTTCACTGGACATTAATCCTTCCCCATAAGAATCTAATCAGAATCATATCAGAATTTAACTGTCCACTGCTGAATATAAGCCCCCTTGGGGATTTTGCCAGTAGTTGCCACGCTTGGCAGGCGGATTGGCAACCGCAGGTAGGCTTTGAAGATGTTTTAAGAGGAACGCTGCTGCCTATCTTTCGCTCTACTTTAGCCGCCTCTTATGACATTTACGGGGAAGAAAGGGGTGGGGTATGCCGGGAACATACAATAAGATAAGAGGTAGATATTAGCTTATTATTATCATACTGGCCAGATGGTTTGGTGTAGAGCTTTATTTGGAATTTTATTTCTCTTAAATTGGTATACAAGTATTTATATAAAAGTACCTATCTATCTATCCTATTTAAGAGCTGCGCTCTTGTCGGTGGAGTTCTTGCTGCTCACTACGATTTTCAGCGAGTCTCTTCACCTCTTGATACGACACGACACCAACTCCTTCCTTGATCTGCCTGATGTAACTGTGTCTCGGTCTCCCTCTACCCCTCCTTCCTTCTATCTTACCTTCTATTATAATGTTCATAAGTTCGTCGTGTCGTGTCAAGTGTCCCAACATTTTTATAAAATACCAATTTAGAAGAAATAAAACGCACGATTTTCTCCAGTTGTCTAGAAAAGGCCATGAGAAGGTGACGCATTATGTTTTTACTCTGTCACTGCATGAATATTTTACAATTAATTATTACTTAGTATATGTATACTTGTTTAAGCTACTTGTACCATATTAACGTAGTTGCATATTGTTAAGATAAACTGCTTGTAAATTATAAGCAGAGAGCTAGACAAGAAAAAAGTTAGAGTACGCACATATGATTTATTTAACTGAATTGCAAGTATTTTAAATAAATAAAAAATATTTTAGGTATTTGTATTTAATGTGTGCCATTTTTTTTTTTGTATTTAGTTGAAATCATTGCAAAGATAATAAATTACGTCATATTTTATGACCATATTTAAAATATTTGAAAACTTTATGACAGTTTTTACAAACTAATCGTGGATGGTAAATACCATCAATACAAACATTTATGTAAAAAATAATGGTAGCACTACTAATGCTTGGAGAAATATGAATAGGTCGAGTATTAGATATGTTCACCACAACGATAGTACTCGACTAATATTTGCGATTCCCTCATTTGGAATTTAATTCTATTAGGTAGGTTATTACTTCTTTGCTATCAGTATTCTAAATATAAAATTTTGAAAATGTTACTTAGTCGTGCTGAAACACTTGAACTAAATTTGATTGATTGATGTGTATTTGATTTAAATGAAACTTGATGTGTATCAAGTTCGGATCACAAGTATGATTCTTTTACTTATTGTGTTATTAATTAATATTTTAATATGCTAATCAAGGATTTATGTCGCAGGCTCTTCGACTACAAAGGGTAGATAGCGTGTTTGCTTCCCATGAACAGCTTAGAGAGTTCGATTATTTAGAAGCCATATTGCGCATTTACAAGCGCATTCCTGTTTAAATAGTGGTAGATAAAGTTTGCGTAAGGCTATGTTAATTAATTGTTTCCTTTTGTGCCTTTTTGGTTTCTGCAACCGGTATTTATAGTGTTGAAACTTGTTGTAATGTACTGGTAAGTAATTTGTTTAAGGTAGTTTTATTAAATTTAAAATTGTGAATGTATTTTAAGAGTTTATTTATTTATTGAACTCTTTATTGCACTATAAACAAAAATATGCAATGACAATTGAATAATTTAAGTGAAATACAGTAACATAAATACAGATTGAAATATATAGATAAAGGTAGGTTTAGTTATATATATATATATATATATATATATATATATATATATATATATATATATATATATAACTAAATATAGCAAACTTTTTTCATATTACTTTAACTATTTAACATTTATAATATTAATTAAGATTCATGGTACTCAACGAATGGATAAAAATTAAATGCAATTATGTTCTTTTTTTAAATTAATTATGTTTTTTTTTTAATTAACTTTGTGTTCGAAAAACCAACCAGTAAATTTTGATAAAAACTTCGAATATACGAGACTAACATCGGAGCAAACCTTATGGGATATAAAAAAAAAGACGTGACGCAAAAAATACTGGTGAAATAAGTACTACCGCCATTTTGAGATCGTTTATAAATGGGGAGAATTATGTCAAAATTATTGAAGTTAATTTATAAAAGTGTGGTATTGCGTGCGCATCGTCCATTAACAGAAGGTTTCAATTATTTTGCAGTTAAAAAATAAGACTCCATCTAGAAGTCTCCATCCATTTATTTTCTTTTTCTGTCCTTTAGTTTTGAAAAATGTAAAAAAATAAGTAAATGCCCCGAGCCTGGTATTTATTTAATAATTACATTCATTCAATTCAATTCAATTCAATTTATTCAATAACAATATTGCATTGTGTTCAATATGATAAGATTTTAAGACTGTACAAGTGCAAAATCACAAAAAAACAATTTTACATATTAACAATGTCACACACAAATAAGGTAATAATAATTAGTCTAAATTAATATGAATAACAATATCGACATCTTTGGTTATTCTTTAGTGCAGTTTACTAGGCTTATTAATAATATGGATTGGTAATTCCGTCTTCTCTAATTGTATAACTTTTTTTTTATACAACTTAGAATGGCAAACAAGCTGACGGCCCATCTGATGGAAAGTGGTAACCGTCGCCTATAGACATGAGCAGTACCATGGACATAACAGAGTATACTGTTTCGCCCATGATACCTCCCATGTGTTGCCATTCCTGAGGACTCAGGTGTTATTCCTCTGTACCCAGTAAATTCACGCCATATCCCGCCCTTCAAACCGAAACACAGCCATGCAAACACAATTGCTTCACGGTTGAAACACGAATAGGACAGAGATTACACGTTTATTTATGTATAAATTTTTAAATGATCAAACGAACTTACCTAAAGTGAAGTTCGATCAAAATTATCTTGACTTCGTTGAAGAGATTTATCTTTGACCATGTAGTAGCCTCGCTACGCTGCAACCCTTCGCACAAGCATTCAGAGGGTAGGAATAAAAACATAATAATGACATTGCTGTCACTCTCCTATGCCGACACATTCCGACCCAGCCTCATTCTATTTAGAGCATAAGGTAGTAACTGCTAGCAACATTGATATTAATTTGGGTTTTATAAGCAGAGGTGGGAGGGACCTTAAATCTCTTCAACGAAGTCAAGATAATTTTGATCGAACTTCACTTTAGGTAAGTTCGTTTGATCATTTAATTATCTTGACTTCGTTTCCGAGATTTATCTTTGACCATGTAGATGTTCAGAGGTTTTTATCAATGTTGCAAAAGAATTAAATAAATTAAAAATAAATAAAAAGTAAAAAACAAAATTTAATCAGTGTGTACATTTCTTTATTATATCCTAAATAAACTGAAAACATGGTTATTATTATCTAATTAATCAATAAGTTAGAAGTGGTATCAATAATTGGCCTATTATAGAAATTGGCAAATACTGCTGATTGGTCAGACCAACCAGCAACCTTACGAATGACATCGACACTTAGGCCTGCACGTGAAGCGGCAGAGGTAGAAGCGTGCCTTGTACTGTGGGCACCAAATATGGAAGTATCAATGCCACTCTCTTGAAGAGTTAGTTTTATCCAACGCCCTAACGTCTGAGATGAGACGGCTTTATATGGTTTCCTACTAGTTAAAATTAAATGGTCCACATCATTAGGTCTTACAAAAGAAGTTGATGCTACATAAAACTTAAGTGTGGCAGCTGGGCAAATACTAGGTCTAGAATTAAAAAACGGTAGATTCAATACCGGTTGGCGACGACCAATACCTGAAGTTTTAATTAAATCTGATATAGCTATAACTATGCGGTCATTGTAATAAGTAATGTTTGAAATTTTTATCAATGACAATGTTTGCGTTCTTTGCCCAGTTGCCAAAGCTAACAGCATCACTAGTTTTTTGCTTAACATTTCTAAATTAATCGAATCGTTTGAGAGATTGGCCAAATGATTAAGTACAATGTTAGTATCCCACGTAACAATATAACGGGGGAAAACGGGTTTCAATTTGAAAATACCCTTGAAAAAACGTTTTATCTTTTCATTATGACCAATATTATTACTAGAAATTAAGGAAATAGCAGATCTATGATTATTTAAGGTTCCGTAGAATGACCCTGATTGGAAACATTCTGTCAAAAAAATTAGCAGGGAACTGAGATTAACTTCATAAAAATCACAATGATTCTGATTACAATATTCCCACCATTTTCTTAGACTGGAATTATACTGCGATATAGTATTCCGAGACAAGGAAGAGATCATAACATCTACAGCTGCTTTTGGTACTCCCTGCTTGGAAAATCCTTCCCGGATAACACGCTCGCTACCAAGAAAAGTTGACCATGTAGCGGGTGAACTGAACTGAAAGTAGAGATAAGGAGATATTTATTAGGTCTAAAAGTTACAGGTTTCGTTACAGATAATGATTTATAAAGGGGGTACCAAGGCTGTGATGGCCATTGTGGTACAACCACTATGCCTGTAGCTCTATCATGTATAATTTTGTTTAGTACCTTTAATATTATAGCGAAAGGAGGAAATGCATAGAAGAAATAAGTAGACCAGTCCAAAGTAAAAGCGTCAATATTATAAGCATCGGGATCTCTTTTCCACGATATGTACTTAGGGCATTTAGTATTAACACGAGATGCAAAAAGGTCTATATCTGGTTTACCAAATGTATATACTATTTCTGAAAATGCATACGACGCTAATTCCCATTCAGTATCAATATTTAGGTTCCTCGATTCTCTATCGGCTTCAGTATTTAATGTAGATTTAATATATGAAGCAAAAATGAATATTCTCCTTTCCTCGCACCATTTCCATATTATATTTGCAATATGATTTAAATGCGGGTATTGAACTCCGCCCATCCTATTAATGTACGAGATCGCTGTTGTATTGTCGACACGCAAAATAATATCACAATCTTTTTTTGTGTTAGCGAATGATTTCAGTCCGAGATAAACGGCTAGTAATTCTAAATAATTTATGTGGTTAGTACGCTCAATGCGAGACCACAAACCACCAGCCTTCTCATTGTGACAGGCGGCACCCCATCCTGTCAATGAAGCGTCAGTAAATAGTTCCATTTCATATTTATGTTGTCTAATACGATTACTAGCTATTAGAATATGATTTTTCCACCATATCAAATCATCGTGCAATTTATTTGGAATAGCCATAAAAGCATTGTAATTATCTGCATTACGCTGAAGTGCCATATATTTAGCTCTTTCTAGTGACTTCGTATGTAGCCATCCATAGGAAATGGCAGGGCATGCAGCAGTAAGGGAACCGAGAACTCGCGCAAATTCTCGAATGCGTATAGATTTAGTAGTGAGTAACATCTCTAAATTTTTGAGTATACTATTTCTTTTTCGATCGGGTAATTGCAAAGTCATCGACTTGGAATCGAGAACAAATCCTAGGAAAGTACACGAAGTACTTGTTTTCAAACTACTCTTTTTATAATTTATTACAAAACCTAAGCTTGTAAGGCATTCTTTAGTATTACTTATATTATTCAAACAAATCGCTTTCGAGTCTCCTAGTAAAAGTATATCATCCAAATAGCGTACTGATTTAAAACCACGAGCTCTTAAGTGAGTCATAACGGGCTGTAAAATTTTTGTAAATATGTAAGGCGCAGAACATAATCCAAACGGGAGTGCAGTGAATTCGTATTCCTTCAAAATAAAATCGTAAATATTTTTTATGGCTAGCATGGATTGGGACTAAAAAATAAGCATCCTGCAAATCAATATTGGCCATAAAAGACCCTTCAGTTATTAGTTTTGTCGCCGTCCTAATATCTTCCATCTTAAAATGTTCGACACGAACATATTTATTTAATTTTTTAAGGTTCAATATAAACCTCATGCTACCGTCACTCTTTGGCACTAAAAATATGTCAGATAAATATTGTCCCTTAACAGGATTGCATTTTTGTATGGCCCCTAATTTTATCAAATGTTGAATTTGTTTTTTAAGTGCAATTCGTTCATTAGAACAAAAAATACGTTTTGGATATTCACTTGGACTCTGTTCTGGTATAGTAATAAATGGAATTGAATATCCTTGAATAGAATTTAAAATAAAGTTATCGCTTGTAATTGAACGCCAAGCGTGTAAAAAATATTTCAAGCGACCTGCATATACCTGAGATTCTGTATTTAATTCCGCGACCGATCGGCTGCTGGTCGCGGCTTGTAGACTGGTTGGCGCCGCGCTGGCGGCGGCGGCGGTGGTTGCGGACGGCGACTGTGTGGCGCCGGTGCGGCGACTACACGTCGCCGATTCGCATATGAAGTTTTGTGCCCACCGGCTCGTTGTTGCGAGTTGGTTTGACTGGCGCACTGACGTGGTCGAGCCGATGGGCCCCTGAAGTTTAAACCAGAGCTGGAAGAAGAGGCTGTAGCTTGAATTAATTGACTAGTCTTCTTAATTCCTCGAGATTCCTTCACTACTTCAGATAAACTCTCTCCGAATAAGAAAGTATCTCTCTTCCGGTTTTTAAAAGTATCGGCCAAAGATTTGTCTACTAATGGAATGATGACTGACCGACGGGTGTCTGTTTCTGCGTAGTGGGAGTCTGCGATAAGTTTTCCCGTATCGCTCAATATGCGAATAACTTCGGATATAACAGGGTCTTTCTTTAAAAGAGCCGTCATGGCCTTTCCTAGGGCTGATAGTGCACGTCCGAGCTGATCTTGTTTACAAATCAAACGTTTATCGCGGAGACGGCAAGGCTCAGGAAGCATAGCATGGACCTCTGGGTTTAGAGTGGGTGCCTTTAAGAACGGTAAATTTTTAGGAAACAGATATTTCTTTATAAGTTCTTCTCTATTTTCCTTTCTTAAGCCCTCTATTAAAATTTTTTGGAACCTTGTTGCTATATCTTTATATATTTCATCACCATATTCAGTAATTTCCGATTCATTTTCTCCTAAGGCTTGTAATAATTCCGAGTCAATGCATTCTGCGACTTCCTCATTATTCTCAGTTACAGTTAAGGGTACTTCCTTAGGAGGAAGGTCTTGGTACGAGTCAAGATCCGAGAAAATTTCTTGCTGTTCGCTTGAAATATTACCCACATTAAACAATTCAGTTTCTCCAGGTACCGGATGTTCTGGAAACGAATGTTACGTATTAATCCTCAAATTCACTAGGATTTCTTTTAATTTAAATAACAAACACTTCTCCTTCACTAACAATGATATTAAGTAATATTCATTGTAATAATTTATTTATAATAAACTCAATAACGAATTTTTAGTCAAGGAAAAAATAAAATAAAACAATATGTGGGTAAGTTCGATCGTGCAAAATATGCCAACGATCATAATTGATCCCGAAGAATACAACGGGATTAAAAAAATTATATCTCGAAGAATTCAACGAGAAATAAATTTGTGATAATAATCACCTTCGATATGTACATCATCTTCATCGCTGGAGTAAACAATACGCTTAGTATTACGACACTGTGTTTTAAGAAGCTTCGCTTCATATTTCTTCATTTTTCTTGACCAACGTTCCTCTTTCGATTCTTCGCGTTTGCGTTTAGGCATTTTTTTTTTTTTTTTTTTAGTTTATATATTTATAAGCTTGTGCAGTCGGCGCGAGCGCACGGACAAGAATGAGGCTGGGTCGGAATGTGTCGGCATAGGAGAGTGACAGCAATGTCATTATTATGTTTTTATTCCTACCCTCTGAATGCTTGTGCGAAGGGTTGCAGCGTAGCGAGGCTACTACATGGTCAAAGATAAATCTCGGAAACGAAGTCAAGATAAATATTATTATTACCATCATTATTATTTCGGTCCCTTTATTCCCTGTGGATGTAGTAAGAAGCGACTAAGGACGGCGAAAGATGGGCAGCAGCGTCCCCCTTAAAACATTTCTGAAGCCTAACTGCGGTTGCCAATCCGCCTGCTAAGCATGGCAACTACTGGCTACACCTCCATGGGAGAGGCCTATGTCCAGCGGTGAACATATGGCTGTTATGATAGTGATGTATTAAAAATTTAAATAGTGATATGTGAAATAATTTTAGTATTTACTTTTTTTTTCAATAAACCACATTCTGTGAATATCTTAAACAAATATGTACATATATTTTTAAGCCGTTTTAAAAGTACAATTTAGAAATGTTTACGGAACCTTAGAACACAGGACTATAGGCAATAAATAAAATTGAAAAATGCTGGTTATTTTTGCACGATTGCATATAAAGATTCCGTTCCTTACACGGCGCATAGCCATAGAATATCAAGATGCCTTATCGAAGAAATGTGTACGCACCCTTAGCAATGTCACAGTTAAATTAATGTATCCAGTAGTTCAAGTAAAACAAAACAGAGTTTGTACGATGTGTACTAGACAATCTATAGGATTTACCACAATATTTATTTAATTAAGCTTAACTACAGTAACACCATTCACCACAAGAAGTTTTATAACAAAATAGTTGATTTAAAACTATATTACAACTGTCCACTGCAGAGTCTTCTGGTCATCTCTTTAAGGAGAGTTTTGCCAGTAGTTGCCACGCTTGGCAGGCGGGTTGGCAACCCTAGTTAGCATTTGGTGATGCTGCCCATTCCTCACAGTCACCTTTTACGACACTGAAGGGAAAGGAAGGGTTAGCTATTCTATGCTGGGATCACACAAGTATTAAAATTTATAATGAAACAAAATTATTTTAAAGCTGATGTTCTAAATTTAAATATTTGAATTAAAATCTAATATGTCCTACGAATTTGTAGTCTCGGTATTGGAATGTAATATTAAGAATTGAGTCTAAAATTCCGAGAAATTATGAAATTACCGGAATTTCAACGCATTATTGGCTGCGTTATAAAATTTATTACTGTCGATATTTTTTTATGCTCTCACATGTTGTGTTTGGACTACTGCTTAATTCTTGTGTACACAGAGAAATCAGAGTCGCGCCCTTCTGAGATAAGCCATTCGTTGTAATGTTACATTTGCATGCAAAGATTTATGACTCACAAACAATCCTTACTAATATCTATTATAAACGTGTAGGTAAGTTTGTTTGTTTTTCCTCGTGTCTTAACAGCTTATGCAGTTGTCGTTACATTTGGCATTCACATGTTATGGAGGAAGACATACTAGTTTTTATCGTGGTTATGCGAACGAAGACACGGACATATGTAGTCTATATACTAATATTATAAAGAGGAAAGAAAATATGATTGTTTGTTTATAATAGACAAGTTGAGAGTAAAACATTCTCTTTTTGGTTGACCGTATTCATAGACAATGTTGTCTCTGTGTTCTCTCAAGCTGGTGTGGTCACGTCATGCTATATTAAAAAAAATTGAATAAGTAACCAAAGTTTGTGGAAAATATTATAAAAACACTCTCTAAAAAATATGGTGAAAAATAGAAACATTATATGCTTTAGTAAAAAAAAATATCTTTTCAACTTTATTCATGTACTAGCGGTCGGTCCCGGCGTCGCACGGGTGGACATTTTTACATTTAAAAAAGTGGCCATTAAGGCTGCACATGCGACGGAAGCTTAAAAATGGAGTAACTTCTCCCGTTTTCCCAACATTACCCTTCACTGCTCTGCTCCTATTGATCGTAGCGTGATGAAAAGTATACTATAACCTAGCCAGGAGTATGAAGAATAATTGTACCAAGTTTCGTCAAAATCCGTCGAGTAGTTTTTGTTTCTATAACGAACACACAGACAGGTAGACAAAAATTTTACTGATTGCATTTTTAGCATCGGTATCGGTCACTAATCACCCCCTGATAGTTATTTTGGAAATATATTTCATGTACAGAATTGACCTTTCTACAGATTTATTATAAGTATTAGTACGCGTAAAAATAACTTTTAGGTGTACAATTAGTTAAAATTTAAATTAAATTACTGTATTATTTTATAGAAAAGAAAAAATTTCTCTACATATTTGTATGAAACAGTCATTATCTATCCGATATCTAATTAGCGGACTAGCAAGCAAACTATCAACATGTCCGTCCGTCCTTTCAGATCGCCCATTTAGACGTTTGTTAATTAAAGTTAGTTAACTAATGATCCAAACAGCCAATGTACACTGTAATCAAGATCTCTTTATAAGACCGGATACTTTGTTCTGTTTCAGGACCACAGGTTGTACGAGAGAAGTTTACACGTTCACGTTCACATTATTACGGACTTAATGACATTGATTAAAAAAAGAGAATATTTTTTTTTAAATAGATAGATAGATCGATAATTTGTTTGCATTACTTACTTACAGCACACAAATTACAACATACATATATAAAAACACACTTTAAATACAAATACCTAAAATATTTTTTATTTATTTAAAATACTTGCAATACAATCAAATAAATATATAAATCATATGTGCCTACTCTAACTTTTTTCTTGTCTAGCCCTCTGCTTATAATTTACAAGCAGGTTATCTACTAACAATATGCAACTACGGTAATATGGTACAAGTAGCTTAAATGAGTATACATATACTAAGTAATAATTAATTGTAAAGTATACATGCAGTGACAGAGTAAAAACATAGATAGATAGATAGATAATTTATTTGCATTACTTACAGCACACAAATTACAACATACATATACAAAATAAAAGCGAGATAACATAAATGATAAAAAAAAAATACATAAAGCTAAATACAATTTTCGTTTGTGAGCTATTGTAATAGCTATTCGAATGAAATTTTAGTATACGTATAAGTTATATTCTAGCTTAATACATAGAACACTTTATGTACTAGTTTACGCGGGTAGAGCCGCGGTATATAGCTAGTATTTAACTAATCCTCGTAGACAAGGATACTGCCAATAAGAAAAAATATATTTATCAAATATATCTAAATATAAACTGTTCTAATACTATTCAAAACATGTTAATACATATGTATAATCTAGCTTAATACATAGAATATTTTATGTACCAGTTTTCGCGGGTAGAGCCGCGGTATATAGCTAGTATTTAACTAATTCTCGTAGACAATTTCTGGTTTTTCCAAGAGACTACACCATGGGGTTCTTCAAAAGGGGAGTAAAGAGGTTTCTTCAGGGTCGGCAACGCACACGTAGTACCTCTGGTATTGCAGGTGTTCATAGGCTACGGTAACCACTTACCATCAGGTGGGCCGTATGCTTGTTTGCCACCTCAGTGGTATAAAAAAAAAGACAAGGATTCCGCTAACGAGAAAAATATGTTTATCAAATATATCTAAATATGAACCGTTTTGTTAATACAAAACATGTTAATACATATTATATATGCATCAGGAACTACGTTAGACGAAGGCTTACGTGTAGCAATTATGATACAATCTTCAACTATATAATTACAGAGCTAGGTATCACATTATCGACATGGGCTAGAGGTTTCCTACAATTTGTGTTCAAACTTCGCCATATTTTATAAGGCGCGTTATACAAAACACCTTGTAAATTATTAATAGGTTGAAAGACAATTGAAAATTATTAATAGAGAACATCATCATTATCATATCAGCCTTTAACTGTCCACTGCTGAACATAAGCCTCCCCTTTGGAGGGGGGGGGGGGTGCTAGTAGTTGCCGCACTTGGCAGGCGGATTGGCAACCGCAGATGAGATTGGCTTTGGAGATGTTTTAAAAGCACGCTGCTACCCATCCCTCCTCAAGTCCTCTCTTAGTCGCCACATACGACACCCATAGGAAAGTAAGGGGTGGCCTATTCTTATGCCAGGACCACATGGCATCATCATTATCGATTCAGCCGTTAACTGTCCAGTGTTGAAAATAGACCTCCCCCATAGACTGCCATAAAGAACGGTCATAAGCCACCAGCATCCACTGATTCCCTGCAATACATTTGCGGTCGTCACTCCATCTAGTGGGGGGGTCGCCCTACTGCGTTTGCTCATACAAGGCCGCCACTCTAGCATCCACTGATTTTTACCGACTTCTGACTAACCTAGCTGTAATAGTTGTTATTAAAACTAATTAATAAAGGCATGCAGATACAAATGTCAAATTTACCGTTTCAGATTTTAATCTTTTATTTATGTCACTTTTTACAGAAATATTTGAATTTAATTTATATCAAAATGTTTTATATCAATATCATCATTGAAAGGAAGCGGCTGAGTCTGTCATTTCCGTAATAAATGCAAATAAGCAATTTGGAATTTTAATTTGTACATCAAACTTTAAATTTATATTAACCGAAGGGAGATTGTATGAAACTCATCTGTATGGGTACTTTTGTTACATCTGTTTTTCTACCGTGAAGCAGTTGTTTGCATGGCTGTGTTTCGGTTTGAAGGTTGGAATATGGTAGTTAAATTACAGGGTACGGGCACATACCGTCATAGTCGCAGAATACTGATGGATCTGACAAAGATTATATATAAAGTCGTCATAGTCGTAGAATACTGACGGATTTGACAAAAATTACATATAAAGATCCGTCAGTATTCTACGACTATGACGATATTTCAATGTGCTCAGTTTTCTGACTGCTCAGCAGCTAAATATTGGTATTTTTAACGACAAATTAGATTGATTTTCTGAATGTTGTTTACAATTTTTATGTTTTGTAATATGAACCTAGGACCCACTATATGTTTTGGGAAACTGTAAGTGAAAGTGAGCAATTAATTTTTAAATAAATAAAATAAATAACACCATGGTTAAGGTGAATTATATGATATGATAATAGAGGAATGGTAACGCATGAAGGGTCCTATGGGTATCATAAGATTTTTTTTATCGTCATGGTACT